GCGTATATGTATTTTAACCCTTTCTGAGAGGCTATTCGAAAAATGTCGTACTCTCCTACGGTAAAATGTTGTCATTTGGTAACATCCGACCGGAAAGGGTTAAATGTGTTCTGAAGTGAGACATATTGTATTTTAAGTCAAATTACCTTAATAAATTATCTTCCTGTATCTCGTTTCGGTTATTTGTATAATACAAACATTTTCTCATTTCCTTCTTTCAATCGAATAGGTTCGTTAGCCATCCTTGATTCATTTCTCAGACAAGTTTGATACTATGTATTCATTGAAAAAGAAAACGACATTGCTTAGTACATCTCAAATAGTTTCATTCTATTATTATTATAATTATCTACAAATAAAGCTTTGACTACAACATATAGAATATAAGACAATATCTAAATTCATTCTGTTAAAGGAGAATCATTTTCAAATGGTGAAAGTACATTTCGAATTGATTTATTTTCTAAACAACCATTAATAAATTCTTCTTTGGATAATGATTGATTATGATCTTGATCAAGTGTTTGAAATATATCATTTGCAAGAGATATTGATGAATAATCTTGTTGTTTATGACCTGTTATTATAAAAAGTTGTTCTAATAATTTAATCATTTCGTTTAGTTCTATTGATTGTGAATGATCTGTATCAAATAATGAAAATGTATATTGTAATTTTCCTAATGGATCACCTATGGATGTTAATGCATAAGCAATAAGAAATTCTTTGAAATCAATTCGATGATTTCCTTAAAAAGAAAAAGAAGAAGTAAATGAAATATTAAAATATATGAAAACAAACCATTCCGATCAAATGCTTGAAAAACATTTTCAGCAATTGATTCAATATTTTTTATTGAAGTGTTTTCTAATTGTTTATAAAATTTAATAAATTGATTTTTATTTAATTGGCCATTTGGACATATATTTAAAAATTCTCGATACCAACCTTGAATAACATCTGGTGTTAAATTTGTTTGTTTCATTAAATATCGATAATCATTCAATGATAAATCTTCTTCTAAGTGACGTGCTTGATGATTACCCATAACTATCAAAGTCTTGTTATTGTATAATAATATATGAATTGCCTATCCTCTCTGCTAATAAATATCTTACTCGTAATGAAATGCAAAGCATACATGGAAGCGAGAATGGGGTTAAATAGAAAAATGAGAGAAAGAATATTTACTGTAAGTATACGTTAGATTTCAGGTCATTAAGCAAAATCTTTTTATGGAAACGTTTAAAGATTAGAAAGAAGATCAATAGATTATTTATTTTCTAAGTATACCACGCAATTCAAGAAAGTAAATATAGCTCTAATGATATATCAAACTTGTAATCTTTGAAAAATCTTAAAATTGCCGTTAGATATGCTTAACTGTTAAGGCATAATCATTTCTATGCAAATAGTAACTGAATAGTTTAGTTTATATTTTGACGATCATAGTAAAGTGATTGAACAAATGTTTTTCTTTTATTCGTGAATAGATTTTTTTATAAATTGTAACTTATATGATAGAATAAATACAATTGATTGTAATTTATCCTTGTAAAATAATAAACTGTTCATTGACGCTGGTCAATGACATGTCAATCTGTCATAGACATAATTTTTAAATCTTTATTATTTTTAGAAAGGCAGACAGACAGGGTCAACACCTCGAATCATTCGCGAGATATGATAACCTTGATCATATCATAGCTCATGTCGTGTTTCTTTTAACGTCTTTTTTTGCCTACAAATGTGTAATGTTCTACCTTCCATTGATAGGTATCTGTACAAGATGCAAGCTCATTAATTAATAGTACATGCATTTGTGTTTTTATTTTCTTACGTTCTTCTTTTTTCAGTTTTTTTTTATGTTCAAGGGTGTGAATATTTTTGCCGTACTGTCTATACTCTTACCTTTTTTCAATGACTTTTTTTTTATCTGTTCAACAAAGAGGAATCATTCAGCCGTAAGGGTGCACTAGTTAGACATTCTCCGATCAAATAACGTAATGTTTCATATGTGAATAAAAACAAATTATCAAGGATATCTAATATATTTTATCTATAAATGAAATAGAGGTAACAAGACTGAGACAGCATCAATAATTATAATCTCTTCCTTGCTCTAATAGCCGTGATCAAACGAGGGAGAGACGGATATCAGTTTATGGGCAGTAGTAACGGTAAACAAAATGTTAAAAAGGAAAAAAATAAAAGAAGACGAAATTTTCGACGAATATTTCATATTTCATTACATCAAACAAACAACATATTGCATCCTATAAATCACTTAGGAATCAATCAATCAATGTCTATATATAATTTTATTCCATTCGATTTTATTGAAGAAGCATCTGCTGATCATCATCTTAATACTACAATGAATCAATCTTCTTCTTCTCAAGCAATAGTATCAAGTAAATTATTAAATATATATATATATACATTTCTTTTTAATTATTAAATTTAGATGATTCTTCAAAACATCTAACAAATAATCATAAAGAAAATGTTGAATTAATTCATACAAAGAAGTAGGTAAGTTCAAGAATTCTATTTAAATATTTATATTTATTATTAAATTAGATCCAATGAAATTAATTGGAGATCATATATTCCAATAACACTTGACAAAATTCGTTCAATAACTATGTTAAAAAATTTAATATGTGAACGTATTAATAGAGAATTAAGTCATATATTAAATCGTTTACTTCGAATCGAAAATTCTGATGAACATGAAGATTTTCTTAATTGGTTTTTTAATGAACTAGAATATTGTATGCATTCAACTGATAATAATAGTATATATTGTCATAAATCATTATTATTACGTTCAATAGAACAAGATCGTTTTGATTGTACAAAATATCTTCTTGAACGGAATTTATTATCAAGTAAACTTGATATAAACACTGAAAATGATCAAGGTCGTCATTGTCTCTTAATGCTTACACATAAAAATGGTCCCATTGATTTGATAAAATATCTTTTAACACATCACATATCATGTTTAGAAACAAATAAAATAGATTTAAATAAATATAGTCCATTCCATCATGCATGTCGTCATTTTAATTTATCATTATGTGAAATTCTTCTTCCTTATACAACGAAACAAATCTTACAAATTGAAAATTCTGAATTACATACACCACTTGATTATTGGCTTGAATGTTTATATTCATTAAAAAAATTAAAACCAATACATTTACAACATGATATTGATACATTACGTCTTGATTATTTATTACATAATAAAGATTTTCAAGCAAATATTATTTTTCTCCAAACAATTATCAATCGTGGTGGACAATTAACAAAATTACCATTACGTTATATACGTTCAATATTACCACAATTAACATTTGATCATAAATTATTATATGTTGATCATCATGTTAATCTTTGTTGTATTTTATATAAAAATCGTTTATCAAC